GCATTGAAAAATATATTAATATCATCGTTATCACCAWGTATAGAAACTCACAAGGSGATTGTAACTTTTACCCATCCTATATTTCTAGTGTTCCATGCTCCACGAAAGTAAATATATTTCTTTCATTAAATCATTACAGAACACATAAACATTTTTCAAAGAAAAAAATCTTCTAAAACAGAGAAAATTTTCAATCCTCTTATATGTTTCTAGTATTGATTCAACCTCGTCCCAGGGTCGCTCGGCTCACTCATTTCCAAAATGGCGARGCACTAGCGTCCGCCATGTTGAAATTAGACAAAGGTCTAACCAGACAAGGGTCTAACCAGGGCCGAGGTTGGCTTCAGAGTATTTTTTTCACTATCTTATTCATTACGTATTATATACAATACTTCTACATTATTTATTTGCCAAATCCCATGTGGACATTATTTTCTTAACTGATTTTTGATACCTTTGTTATTTATAGATCTGGTATCGACTACCTCAGGAAAAGCCTATCAACTAAAGGGATCTGCCTTGCCATGGAGAGATATTTCAGTATTGATTCCCAACACATGAACTCCACAAAATTCCAAGTGTCCAGGATTATCAGAAACCTGAAAATATTGTCAAACGTCCAAGTGGTCGTTTTATACAGCACTTCTGCGCAAGCTCATCATATTTTTGATGAGGTACGGAGACAGAAGATCTTTGGAAAGACGTGGATTGCSAGCGAGGCCTGGGGCGAGGATAGAAGAATATTACGTCATACTAGTATCGTGAAAGGCATGCTGGGCATAGTTTATCGGAATATCGAATCAGAACAGTTCATYCAATATYTRATGGGGYTCACGCCAAAGTACAAACCCACTCAGTGGTGGGAGAATTTCTGGACGGRGTGCACTAACCAATCAACTATAACTAGAGAACTCTACGACAAGAAAATGCACACCCAGATGTCCGTATCAGTTATTAATGCCGTTTATGCTGTTGCACATGCATTGGACAACATGCATAAATGCAAAGAACCACATGGTTTGTTAGAMGGTGGGAARTGTCCTTCTCTCAAGCCCCATGTAAACCCAAAGGACCTCCTGACCTATCTDAAAGTTGTCAACTTCACAAGTCCAGTATCTCRAGTAAGCTTTGATTCTAATGGAGATACTATGGGCTCATACACAATTATAAATTTACAAAAACTAAATGGATCTTGGGAATTCATTCCCGTAGGATCATGGGAAGCTATGGTGTCCTCCCAGCTTAAAATCGACGACGAGGGGGTTATGTGGAATGGCGACAGCAAAGGAGAGGTTCCAAAGTCCGTGTGCCAGGAAATATGTYCRCCTGGATTCTGGCAGACGGAGAAGGTTGGATGTTGTTGGCAGTGCATCAAATGTGACTTGAACGAGATCTCGGAAGAGTATAACTCGACAATGTGCACCAATTGTCCTGAAGATTACATTCCTAATAACAACCATACAGTATGCATTAAGGTGCCTGTTGTTCACATCAGCTATTCGCATACAATTGGCTATTCTTTTATT